GTACAACTTTGGGGGCCTGGCAATCAGGGAGCTGGGCAGACGGATAAGCAAACCGTCACGGAAATTCGGCTTAATGGCAAAATGTACTAGAAATCCCCTTGAGATGCCGCATGCGACCAGAGATAGGCGTCCACAATTTGCTCAGATAACATAGGCTTATTCAGGAAGAGGACTCGTAAAGGGAAGGCCCGATATCTGCAAGCATGGGAATCAGAGCTTAGGCGCTCTGCTCCGTGAAGCGGCAGTGTACGTGTTTCTAAAGCCTTGAGAAATAGCTCCCGGAATGAAATTCGCACAAGGACTGGAACCGAGTGAAATATGACAATCAGAAAGATAAGGAACGGATCTACGAGTCTATGAGGGGATCCGTATTGGAGGCCTAAGTCGGATCAGCCGATCGAAAGAGGTGTCAGGGTGAATAGCAAGTGTAATGAAGCCACACTAGATTTGCCACAAAAGGGCACACATTTTGACGAGTCAGAAGTTGTGATAAGGGCGAGAGTTGGATAGATAGGCAAGGACAGAAAGAGGAGTGCTAGTGTAACAGTTTTCGGCAGAACGTTTGTCGAGGGATTGACTTCACTTGTCTCTTTGGTGCGGGGAATGTTAAAACTCACTGATAATGCCTACTAGGATGCCGGCAGAACGTTTGAGAATGTATCAAGTCCACTGTCTGATGCTGAGAATCATGACGACTTCGGACTAGATGCGTTCAACTAAATCGCCTTGACAACAAGACCAAGTTGCTACAACGAAGTTAACCTACTTATATAAATCGAAAGGAGACTGCGACCATACCAGAGACCACAATATTTTAGTCATCATATCATCTACTATTAGATTATTTGGATTTGTAGTTTATATATCTATGTATTCGAACTGTCTTCAAATTACTATCAATTGGCTCTTTATATGCATCGGATCATAAAGATAGCCCATGAAGGCAATGCCTGGCCATAAGATTAAAGAAGAATACGTGCCGAAATAAGATAAGGAAAAACAGTTAATTTAGTCTATAGCACTGTAGCGATATCTGTAGACTCGGAACTCTGTTCGGTGAGGAAACAGTAAACGAGGTATAAAAAGATGGTGGCAGACTGTCCGAAATGATGTACAAAAAATGGTTTACTAAGAATCCCTTAATAAATTCATGCTGGAGTTCCTTTCATTTCGTTGGAAGAAGTGGAAAGGGTTGTTAAGTTGGCCTCACTTGAAGCTGTAGGGTGATTGCCTCTGAGTTTTCATTGTAGATTTGTGCGAATAGGTCCTTGGCGCACTGCCCGGCGAATCTGTGCTAAATGTTTGTCTGTTAGGTGAAAGACATCGTCAGAGAAAAACACGATCCTTTACGGTAATTCCTCAAGCACAAGGACAAGAAAGGTCTTTAGGCTTGGTTAATTATTATTGTGAAGCATGGTGTCCTGCTCTGACGACGTCCGCCATGACGGACAAAGGTCAGCTAGGATTCATCAGGGTCGCAGGGTGGTGCGCCGAGGACATATTGGCACAAAACTACAATCACAGCTCCGAGGCAATCCCCCTAAAGTTTCCGGTGAGGCCAACTAACGAATTTTTTCCACTCTAATTGCAAAATACACAAACATGTAAGAAAGAATACGTTGAGCTAAAACTTATAGGCTGGCTGAAACCAGTTAATCATTAAGATAAGATATGAATCTTCGAGTGCATGAGAGATTCGGATAGAAGTTGAATGAAATAATTTGCAAACCGAAAGGTCCAGTTAGGATAAGCAATTAAGGCAAATCAAGAGGAGGTAAAGTAAACCAGCGGAAGGTGCAATAACGCTTCACTAAACCCACTTTAACTGGCACCACTCTGAAACACTCGAATATAGATAAGTTAAAAGTTGTAAAAGAGAAATGATGGCATTCGTGGAGAGACTTAAATCACATTTCTTTGGCATAAATTTAGTCAGTGGGTGGACTTAACTTGCCGCCTTGAATGTAAAATTGTGCTGAATGGCAATACCGACTGGCGCTATCGAAGAAGCGTTTGAGAATGTACCATGTTCATGGTCCGACATAATAAACTAGCCTGGCTCTTATGGCAGATGATATTGGCCAGGGAACGTGCATTAAGGGCGCTTTAAGAACAAGATCATGCTGCGAAAAACAGGTAAAACTACTTATATGCAGCGAAGTGAGACTGCGACTAAAATAGAGGCATGACTATCTAGATCTCCTAACATACGAATAATCTACTATCATTTGGCTTTTTTAAAGCAAAATGAATTCAGAACTATATATAAATATATATACTTTTTTATTTTTGTACTAATTGTATCTCTAATTATATAAATAAATTCAAACACCAGGTGAATACCAAACCTTGCATCAAATGCAGCATAAATCAATTTCCCATGTTTAATTTTCATGATAGGAATAGTAAATAATAAACAATAAACCATGGCTGGCTGAAATCAATTAATAAATAAGATAATAGAGGAAGAATCCCATTAACCCTATCCGAATGAGAGTGTCTCTGAAAGTCACAAAATCCAGGAGTCGGAGGTTATCAATATCTTCGACAAGTTCCCTTAAGAAACAAAACGGAAAATGGAGATGGAAATAATCCCCAGAATTTTGACACATTATGAACCTATGTACAATAACAGATTTGCTAGGATACTAAGAACCCTAGAAAGAAAAAAACAATTGGTCCTGTAGCCGGACAAAGGAGCAATAGTTGTATTGGACAGAAAACAATATACAGAGAAAATGGAATGCATACTGCAAGATAGGACAATCTGTCGCCTAAAAAAGAAGAACCCAACTATGAAGATCAATGGAACTCTACAGATCATGTTGAAATAGGTGCACAGAAAAGAGAAGATCAATGGATAGACAATAAATACACTAATAAAAAAGGATTCACGACGATCAACAGCCTACGGATTACCGAAGTTACAGAAAGAAGAAGGACCACTGGAAAGTATCATGCATACAATGGTCTAGATGCGTCCTCCAAGTCGTCCTACCACTATGACCAAGTTGTGAAATCAAGGTGATTACTAAAACTTGCATAAAATGCAGCATAAAGCAATTTCCCATGTTTAATTGAATGTATGATGACCAAGATGGTGTGGTCTTTTGTGTAGTCACAGTCTCCTTTCGTTGTATAGAAGTTGTTTGACCTTGTTTTCGCAACTTGGTTATATTGGTAGGAAAAATTAGAGGAACGCACCTAGTCCGGAGTCCATTGCATGCATGATCGTTTCCAAAGTTAGACGTTTGGGAATGTATCACGTCCATGGTCCTCTAAGTCTTCCTACCGATTTGACCAAGTTGCAAAAAGAAGGTCAAACAACTTCTATTCCCATATTTAATTTCCAGCATAGGAATAGTAAATAATAAAGTTTAAAAAGCAATAACAACAAGAACGAATGCCATTAAATTAGCAATTAAACATAAGAAGCATTCGAGCATAGACGTTTGTAAAAGCTATATTTGTGAATGACCCTTTAGCATTAGTGAAATAAGAATAAGGGTAGCACTAGTCTTACATTAACCGAGATAATTCAAACATGCTCTTTTAGCTAACCCGTTTCACCTATTTACCAAAAAATTATATTACATAATTGGAAGTTTCTGTATTGTTTATTTAATAATGTTGGTAGCAAAATTGCGACAAAGTGGAAAAACAATATAAAGGGAGAACGAATATCAGTACGTGATAAAGCAAGTAACTAATAAATAAATTGTTTGATAAATAAGGAGACGTCTCTATATCATTTTTACCACAATATAGATATAGAAATACGAATTAAGAAAGGATTAATTTGATATTTATTCAGTTAAATATTCTAGGGTGAAACTTCATTATAAAGTAACATTGGAATTTCATTACGCAAAGGTAGCACTAAAAGATAAGGCTATAATTTGTTTTTCAACGTCCGCATGGAATAACTTTATGAAATATATCTAGTAATAAGGGAAAATATATTAGTACAAGATATTAATCAGAATCATGAAGAGTAATTGAGACAAACCTTAATAAAGACTCAAAACGCTTTTTAAAGATGTAATATATAATATAAATAAAGTACTCAAAATAAAAAACGGCAATTAATGTTACATGATAAAATTGAAAAGAAAATAATCTTAATTAATAATCGAATTCATATATTCAAAAGACTGAAACAGAGTTTGCACATACAATAAAGAAAATGAAATACGAAATAAGGTAGTGTGCATATTAATTCAGATAATTTCGTAGAAAAACACTAAATAATATGCGAAAAAAGCAGTGCTAAAACGATGTAGAATTTACCATGGCTTGATTGACAGTTTACATGAAAAAGGAAAGGAAATAGCCATAGTAAGAATGCTTTCATATCGACAATATGTTGCGAAATAGATAGTAATGCCTAGTTGCATTTCATTTGCAGAGCAATAGCATTATCAAAGGGTTTCAAATAACAGGGTTCATTAAACAATTGCGCGCTTAAATAAAATTTTTAAACACGACAAATAAATATTAAACTTAAAATTATTTAGCTATTTACATTTTTTTTAGTTTTTTTAAATTCTTTTTGTTTGCAATATATATTTAATAATTTATAATAATATGTTTGTTTATATATTTTTTAATTTTTATGGCGAAAATAAACCGGAGTGAGAGGATACAATTTCCAGACAACGATGACGATGAAGAACTTGACCCTCTCAGCCACAATTTTTGTCGCGCATGTATTGATACTTCTAGCTTTGAAATATTGAAGACCGCTGGATCTTCATTAAAGAAATTTGACAATGGAAAAGGTTTTTTCCATAGATGGATACCATTATTTATAATCTTTTTACTTATCTAAATTAGTTACCTCTTAACATCCCTGCGCCCTCATCTAGCCTGTATTTGCGATATTTATTTCATTTAACCAAACTGGTCTACGTAACTACCTAGCATCGTTTCAATCTCTTTATTTCTCTTATTCAATCTTTATGTTAGAATGCCCACCAGATAAAATTGAATTAGGTCGAGCCTCCTGGACGCTACTTCATAGCATCGCTGCATATTACCCCGTCGCCCCTACTCTCCATCAGAAGAAAACCATATCAAGTTTCATTAAATCATTTTCGGAACTATACCCATGCCGTCATTGTGCTGCCAACTTTAGACAAGGTATTTTTGAATTAAACTTCTTGTTCTGATAATTGGTTTAATATCATAATCTATTTTGTTTATCTTCATTTTTATAGCCATTGTACACTCACCTCCTGTTCTCGATTCACGCGATTCCTTAAGCAATTGGCTGTGTTACCAGCATAATTTAGTGAACAAAAATATTGGAAAGCCTCTCTTCGACTGTTCTAAAGTTAATGAGAGATGGCGAACAGGCTGGAGCGATGGATCTTGCGACATAGAATAATCTACACTTCGATTTTCGTGTACTCGCATTTTACCCATCCTTCTGTCAGAATTGACTTTTGGATCCCGATTTTGAAGTAGTACTTCTTGTGATTAATTTTTCCATGTCCAATATTCATGTATATAGCCCAATCGATGCCATTTGGTAACAACTTAATAACATAACCAAGCTTCTTTTTTTAGCTCCTTTGTACTGAAATATATTCCCGAATATTTGCCGGATCATATATTTTCATACTAATCCGACGCTTCCAGATCGTCATCATCAAAGAAAACATTTTGCATCCTCATTGAAGGACCCACATCTCGCTCCAATAGACCATTCTAGATACAATGTTCCTCTATTCTGGTCTGGTAGGAGCCATTTCTAGTCTCGAGTGTTTGATTCAAATTTCCTTTGTATTATTGTAGTATAATGGAATATTCGTCATATGATTGAAGAAGCTTAGTGATTCCGTGATCTCACATTTCCATCTTTACCTTAACCTAAAAGTCAACAGATTCATAGTCTCTAAACTGACAGGCTGCTCAGTTTAACTATCCTGTGGACCGTAGATATG